ATCAGAATATGTTATCCTGTCCCAGAAGCTGCTCATATCTCTTTGTGGGTATTGTACTCTCATCACATTGCTATTCCCTCTAGCAATCATACCCTGAAAGCTGCATACCTCTTCTACATGTGGAACCCTTGAAATACATGGTTATCATCATTCTGGTATTACCTTGGGAGCTCTGGAACGTGGTTTTGAAGCTGTGCAGTGACCAGTCAGGTCCACATTAGCCAGTAAGGAGGTGGGGAATATTCATGTATGGAACTGTGGGTCGTGTCAGAAGTTCAGGAAGCACAAGCATCACAGAAAAAGTCAGGTAATAGAATACCATGTGCAGCATGAAAATAGTTTAATATCAAATATATATATATTCTAAATATATATTTATTTTTATAGAATCTGTAAAATTAATCTCAAGTGATGAGATAGCTCCCATTTTATAATTACTGTATGATTTGTTTTGGGTTAAGCTATGTTTTCTTAGTAAGAATATTGCAAGTAAAGAGAGATTTCATCCCTTTTTTTAATTTTCAGAAGGCATTTTTTATAGTTCAATATTGTCATTATTAATATTTTTTCTCAGAGACCTGTAAAGACAGAGAATTAGGTATTCAAAATTTATAAGATGTTTAGGCTATTTTTTTTTGTTGTTCAAGGGATGGGTTTTATATGGATAAAGTCACAGATCGAGCTGTATTGTAAGCACAACTCTGTAAAAACCTCTGCTGAAGATCTTTCCTGTGTCTTCTAGCTCTGTGGTGGTCACAAGCTTGTAAAAAAACAAACAAGTATTGTTTTATGAATATTAAAACATTCTCCAAATAACAGTCATTGGAAAATATTTTGATTTCTGAGATTTTATTACAATTTCCAAAAAGCTGTAAAAAAAAATAGAAAAAAAAAATAAAAGTCTCACTTCCGAGACTATTTTTTTTCTCTCTCTCTCTTTTTTTTTTTTTTTTCTATAGCAGGTACAGTACACAGAACAGTCAATTAATTGAAATTGCACTTCCAATGTCTTTACATGTAAGCAATTGTTAATAATACTTATGGATCTCTGTAGAGAAATATGTGTATCTGTATGGAACTGTGCTGATCATGTGTGTTTTTGAGAGTTCACTGATTATTCGTATTCTGCTATTGTACAGAGTAATTCAGTGAATCAACAGAAATTATGATTATTGAACCACAGAGGCTGTTCTGGTTGTCTGTGTTTTGTTTTGTTTTGTTTTGTCTATTTTTTTATATTCTTTAATGCTACTAGGAAATAAAAGCATGTGCACTTATTCTATCTAGCAGAAAACACCTTAGTATATATATTTGCATCTCTCCCACTACAGTATTTGAAAGGAAAAAAAGATTTTATCCCAATTCAGTAAGAAGCATTATTGTGTCAGGCAGACTTGAGAGTTACTAACATTATTCATTCATAGAGATTATATTTGTATTTTGACTTCTTACCAGTAGAAATTCCAATGGTGTTTTCCCAGTGTGGATCTCTACTTAGGACTACCGTGAACATGCAGTGTACTTCATTTTTCCATGTCACTTTCTCTGCCTCTTTCAGTTCTGGTCTGCTGCAGTGCCAGAATTGGTGCTAATGTGTTTTGTCCATACTCAGTGCAGGAGCAAATTAAGCCTCAGAAAGACATTACCAAGGGTTATCAAGTTCTGATGGTCACAGGCCCCAAGGTTAGGGCTGCCCCTCTGACATTGTGTATTTGCTGTTAAAAGTTGGATAAAAAGACTGACATTAGGGGTCAATACGAATGCAGATTTCTCCTTTGCCTATATATTCCAATTTTGCTAATGCCATTTACAAATGCAGGAAAATATAACCAGTGTGGTTTCAGTTTTTGCTTAAGGCTAAAACTGTGTGTTATATTTTTGTTCCAGATTCTTCATTGCTCTTTGCAGTAGTCAACTTCTGTGTCTTTTCTCTGGTCTTTCCGAGCTGTGCTTCAGCATGATTGTACTGTTATGGTACCTTTTCTATAATCCTAATATGTATTTGGCTTATTTACCTACATTCCTGTTAACCAATTTATACGGTTGGAATGATATAATACAGACCTACTGGTATTGCTGAAATCCTAGTGACAATTCATCGTAGCCTCTTTTCTCTAGCATTTTTTATATGCGTGCGTTAATCTCTGTGATATTCTAGGAATCATCCCTAGGCATAGGAAAGTATTTCAAAATATGTGTATGTTTTTTAATTTTAATGGAATTTTCTTGGACTGTATTTGCACTCACTTTTGTTTTCTTTCATATTTTTTTTTGTTTTCAGGAATGTTAGCCTCACAGTATATTTTAATAAAGTATTTCAACATATTTACAGAAAAATGAATGGAATTGTAACCATTTAGTCTTGAATGCTTTGAGGTGTTATTGCAATGCATCTTCAGAGTAGGACCAGGAAACAGGACTTCCTTAACTGTTCATGAAGCCACAGGAGAATACATGTTCAGAGGAATGTAGCAGAAAATAGCTTGTTACATATTTTTTATTATTTTATAAACAATTTTGAAGAGATCATTTTCAGACACCTTTGTAATAACTAGAAATTAATTTCGGTGAATATCGATGTTTTATGAGTCATGAAGTCAAATTATTTTATTGTTTACAATTTTTATGCATTTGTTTTGTTTTTTTTTTGACTTTGCATAACCTGAATAAACAAAAATACCTCACTTTTTTGAAATGAACCAAGCAGCCCTCTCAAAATGCTTCTTAACGTGTATTTCATGTTGATGTGGTTATCAAAAACCTCCTATCTTTCTGAGTATTCATTAGGTTTTATTTTCCCTAGTAAGAGAAAAAAAATATTTTCCCTAAGATTTAATAGTTTACACTATTTAATATTTTTCAGTATTCAAATATTCGTATTTGAATAAAATATGTTTTCTTATACATGAGAAAGTTATTCTGGGTACAGACCAAATGTCTACATAGCAAAGTTATTTTATATTATAAAATATTAGAAATATAACTATATTAGAAAATAATTGCATAAACTAAAACAAGAAAGTGAATCTACTGGAATAGTTATTTAATTTTAAGGATCTTTGTGAGTCTCTTTATTTTTTTTCTTAACATCAGGTAACACTTATATCTCTTCTTTGGAAAGTATGGAGTTAATTATAGTGAATATATAGTGAATTAGAGAATTTGCTATTAGTGTTGAACCAATAGACAACCAATAACAACTTTGTTGTTATCCAAGTAGTATTGTATCTATGACTCAGTCACAGGTTGTTTTAGCATATCTATTTTCACAATTTAAAATGTGAGTTCTAGGAGAAATATTTCTAACAAAAGTAAAATCAGAAAATGGCTGAAGTATATGTACACTTTAAGTATGAATAAAGTAGATTTACAGTTGTAAATGTAGGTAAAGTTTTTTTTAAAAAACAAATAATCAGTAATTAAATAATACTGATATGAACTATGCCATGCAAAGTGCTTGTAAAATATATAGAGATTAGAAAACTTTTGTTTTGTTTTGTTTTCAATAAATTGCATTTTAATTATACCAAGAAATCCCCCCCCAAAATTGTTACATTCAGTATTGCAGTAGTATAGCATGTTTACTAGTAACGTCATATTTTTGTTCTTTCATCTTTTAAAGGTAAAATGAAAGCAGAATTTTCATCATTAGGAATGATAAAAGAGATGGGTGATCTTACTAATTTTTATCAATCCTGAGGAATTTAGATTTTCTCCTGCATTAGGATTTCATACCTTTAGTTATGAAATAACTAAACCTAACTTTACTCTATGCCGTGTGATTTTCACAGGAAACAAAATTCAGTGTCTTTGGACTCTAATGTGGGATACTCCTCCTTCATAGAAATCTGATATACTTTATATGACAGCTTTATTTTGAATATTTTAAATCTAAATTGTATGCATTTTTTCTTGCATCCAGTGAGGTAACAATTTGTATATTTGTGAATGTATGTATTTATAGGATTGAACATAAAAGTATGCTTCAAGTTTAAATGCAATACAAATAAATAGTTACTGTTTTTCCCTCTTTTCTTCACCTTCCTCAATAATGAAGGTAGGTAAACATCACTATTTTGTATCAACATTTTTTTTTCTATAATGAAAGAAAAAAATAAATGAAAAAGAAGCTATATTTCCCAAAGCTACAAAACAGGTAAACACAGAGCCAGATTAAAAATAACTGTCTATTTTTTTTTCCCTCAGGTATACTACTCCATGGAGTTGTAGTGTCAAACAGTAGAGTTTTTTAAACTGTTTTATTTAGTTTTCCCTCCTCTTTTATGCTCTTGAAAGACAAATAGGTTTGGGTCGGGACGTGGGGAGCCAAGGATTTTTATCAAGTTGATAAATACAAAATTTGTCTTCTAGAAAAAGAGAAGCTGGTATTCATTTTTCAGCCCCACCTTCTTCCATGCAATCATATGTAAATGAAATCCAGAAATTCGAGTTGTATTTATGAATCATGATTTTTTTTTTTTTAACAATGTTGAGCTTCTGTCAAGAAAATATGAGTAATGAAAATAAGAAATCTATGACTGGATTTGTATTTTGATCATAGTGTTGGGGGATATTTCTGTTGAGTTTCACAGTTGCACTTTAAGGTCAAGAGAGATAATGCCAACTGTGATACTATGAATTTACATATGTATTTTCATTAACTGCAGCATCATAGCAAAATAAATGAGGTAATAAACAGGTTTTGAGTATGACACTCATTGTGCCAGTCATAAATTGATAAATGTGGTGGTTTGACATGACAGTGTTCCTTTAAGCATGTACTTATTCACATGATTATAGTGCCTCAAAATAGAACGTTTTTTTCTATATATTTTTAATTCATTTGACAAATTTAGAAATTGCTTAGCTGTTAGTAATAACTTCACCACAGGTGAAGAGATGCTTTCAGTCATACTTATCAGTGGTGTTTAATATATAAAACATACTTAAATATACATATATGTATAAAACCTTTCTTTTTCCTGAATCAATGTAAACAGAGCCCAGATGGCCGTATAGAAGTCAAAGGGCAGCATGGAAAATCGTCACTGCATATTAAAGATGTGAAGTTGTCAGATTCAGGGAGATATGACTGTGAAGCTGCAAGTAGAATTGGTGGGCACCAAAAGAGCATGTACCTTGATATTGAATGTAAGTTCTAATATTTTGTTTCTCTTTAAAATTTGTTTTAAAAGAAAAAAAAGTACATTCTTAATGGAAGGTCAGTTGTTCCTGGTAATTCATGTTTAAACTTGCAAAATTTAAGAATGTGTGTTCTTAGTAGTAGTTAGTAATGCTGAATTCTGTGGAGGGATCCTGACTTTTTTTTAAGTTGACATGACCCTCGTCAGTGATTTATGCGCAAAAGGATTTCATCTCAGATCTGTGATGTTACCCACTTATTTAAGGCTAAACTTAATAACTACAAATTGGCTAAACTTAATATCTTCACATCTTTGGTCTGGTGGAGCCTGCTCTGGATGGAAAGTATACACTGGGATAAGGTAAAGACTGATTTGAGCAACAACTCAGACTTAAGCTGAAACTTCCAAGATGCAACAAAGTTTTTTTGTTTTTTTTTTTTTGGGGGTTGCTTTTTATTTTTTTTCTCCTACTTCTTTTACTTAATAATGCTCCTCCAGATATCAAGCCCTTGTTATATGTCCTCATGGAGCTGGAGTTCACAAGTTTGTGACAATTTCATTTGGTTAGACTGCTTTGTGGACAGGTTGCTTTATTCAAAACTCTTGATTTTTATCCAGGAGCAAATTAGATTATTTTTGTTCAGAGAAGAGTCTGATGCTTTAGAAGCCATTTATATGAGAGGATATAAATTTCAAATACAGAAAAATTCAGTGTTAAATTGTCTCTTCAAACACCCTTTTGTTCAAACTTCTAAAGCAAAGGTCTAGAAAAAAAAAAAAAAAAAAGAAAACCAAAAATCATTATTCTATTTTGCTAGAAATTTGCAGGATATATTTATTTTGCTTTTTCCAGAATAGCTTCAGTGAGCCTGTTTGAGCTTCAGAGTGAAAAAAAAAAAAAAAAAAAGACCAACAGAAAGGTTGCATGAAAAGTATTTGATTGAATGGTTACATGAATGGTTACACTGAATTGAAGGAGTGTCTTTCCACTGAAATGCGATAGACATTGGATACAGAGATAAGTAATGATTTCAGACTGTCAACTGAGTAATGTCTTGAGGAGTTTTGAAAGTGACTTCAGTTTACAGTTGCATGTTCCATCATTTTCGCAGGAAAACAATGGATGTTGATATAGGAAATAAATATGAAAGGAAAACAAGAAAATTTCAAAGTTCTAACTGGATTTTAAAAATGCAATGATTTGCCAACCCAGAAGGCCTAAGAAATAAATACAGTGTTCATTAATAGCTTTAACATAGCTGTTTTTCAATAAATAGACATTTGAAGGAATTTGAAACTTTGCAAAATAATTTGCAAAAACTCTTTTGGGAGCATATTTAAAATATTTTTTCTTTAATGAAACTCTTTAATGACACTTACTTGGTGTGCTGATAATTATTTATTTTATATGTATTAAAAGAAAAAAATATTTTACTAGATAAAAATTGAATTGCAGTGAAGCTCCTTCAAAATATCTCTAAAATTCCAAGTCGTATCCTACTGTATGCATAAAATAACATGAAAAAAATGTTAATTAAGGTTATGTAGCTTTTATGCTTTAAAATTCAATTTTTTTTTTATTTTTTTTTTTTTGGTACTAACAAGGGAGATATAGGATGTGTCACAATTTATGAAATATTACCAAAAGACATAGAAAAAGTCATTAGCAGAACAGAATTCATATTAAAGTCCATAACAAAAATTCTGGATTGATAGAATGAATTGATGTCATCACCTTTCAGGGTGAAATTTTTGTACATAATGCTATGAATTTAAAAGTAATATATTCCAATTGAGTTAATGTGAATTGTGTGGCAGGCTTAATTTGTAATATGTATGGGAACAATCAAATACATGTATGTGAAAATGGATTATCATATTGTTTTTAATTATGTATTTATGCCTCAGTAGATACACTTTTTATTCAACTTAAAAGTTTTTACAGTTCAGAATTCTTCTGATAAAGTGGTTTTTTAAACACAGAAATATTATTCTATTATCATATAGATGACACATTGTAATGATGATTTTTAATGTGTAACACAATATTTTTATTTAACATAAAATTTTGAAATGTCTAAAACCAGAATTTTCATTTCTTGAAGTTTTAACTGTGATTGAAGTTTCAACCAAATATTCAAAGAACATCTGTGCTGGAAAAAATAGAACAGAAGTAGAAATATTTTCATGTTCATTATGTGTCAGGTAATTTTGTAATACAATGCATGTATTTTTGGGGTGATACAACAGAAGTCTGTCTCTATTGGTATTCAGGTTTACCAGTCAGAGCAGTTTTTTAATTTGCATTGGAAATAACTTTATACTCTTACATGAACTCCAATTGTATCCTGTTTGTCCTGCCCAGGCAACAAAACACTTGTGTAATGATAACGATTTCTGTCCTTTAAAATAGTGTACTCAGAGGAAATTGTCTTCATTATGGCCTCATCCCTCATCAATCTAGTTTCTGTGATAAATTTCTATGATGAAACAGTCTCGATAAAATAATCTATTAGTACTTTCTTACCACTGTTTCCATACAAGGCTCTGTTGTCTTAAATATTAGAAGTGCTTTTCTGAACTATAAGTACTTTTTTTTTTTTTGGTAGCAAGTGTCATAGTTATCATAGTATCATTCTGGCTATTTCATTTCATAAGTTGCAGGTTAGAGACTTTCACTAAAAGATACATGTTCAAAAACTAAACGATTGGTATTCAGAGCAAAATGGGAAAAGAGAGGGTAGTTGTATGAGATTCTGTGAAGTTGGTATCAAATAAATGTTTTGACTCCCTATGTATTATTCTCCTAGTGACCTTTTTTGAGCATATTAACTGTAAATACAAATGTTGCTATCAGGGTTGTTTATACTTTTTTTTCCAAATATTCATTTACCAAATTGCAGATTTGAAAAATCTTCAAAATACTGTAATTTTAATGATTTTGGTTTTATTCTCTTCAAACCTATTTTTGAGAAGGATTTTTTTTAAGTATGGCTAACTCTTTGCATAATCACTAGTGGGCCATTTTAGCAGAATTTTTATTATTTAATAGTATTCTAGCATTAGCCTCAATAACTATTTTAAAATTTAAATATAAATAAATAAGCAAGGTCTAATTTTACATATTGTTCCATAGCTCCTAGATACAGCTAACCAATCCACCTAGTACCATTCTATAAGCACAAGTACACACAAGCACAGTAGTCTTTTTTATAGGTTTTTAATACCTTTGCTAGTTTATGTAGTCAGGAGAGGAGCATGTTGCTGTCACATTTTCAAATGGCAGTGCAGTCAAACAGGACTAATTGAGGCACAGGGTGCCCTGGTGTCACTGTCTCATGCTTTTACTTACTGACCTCTATCTGAGACTTAAACTGATAGCAAGATTGCACAGAGTTTTTGTATTTTATCCTTGTTCTCTCTTGGGGTTGCTTTTGATGATAAGAGCAGTTCGCCAGGACAGGAAGAGATTATCAGTTTGATACCGTTCAGGCATGGTTAACCCAGCCTTTAATCTGAAATAAATGTTAGACAGACATAAATTGCTGAGTTGTCAGAGTCACTTAAAAGGATTTCTTTCTACAAAGTCTTTTTTTTTTTGTTTAGTTTTCCTTGTATTTACAATTAAAAAAAAAAAAACCTTAAGTACAAGAAAAAGAAGATAAAAATATTATTTACTAATAGATATCAATAACTGCAAGTTTTGGTTATACATATGAAGCCTAGTTTATATTGTATATTTATTATTATTATTAATAAATGCCATTGTTTATTAATGTACTGCTAACTGAATCAACTGATTGAAAAGTTGGCATATATGATGTATACTAGGTATTGGGTATTAAGATGTGTTTGTAGCAATTAGCTACAATTTCTCATAGATAGCTTTTTTTTTTTTTTAATAAAAACATGATAGAAATAGATACAAAAATAGATAAAGCAAGACGTATTCTAATAATGATGAGGTTTTCAGAAAGGCCTGAGGAGGTACAATATACAAATCCTAGTGAGTTACAAAATGATTGTACCTACAATATGATCAGATGCCTTTCAAAGTCACAGTTTTCGTATGCAAATGTTTACATTTCTATATGGTACCACTGTGCTTTTAAAGAGATATATTTGTTTTGAAACTAAATGCAAAATGCGAAGATAAGACAAAAAAAAAAATACAGACCTAATTAAAAGAAGAAAAACTCTGATGAGAGAACACATTATTTCTTGTGTGTATTTCTACAAATTATTTACTGCAGTGATTAGAATTGAAGAACTTAAAAATAATAATAATTTTGACTTACTGGATATAACAGGTCATCTTTCTTCAAGGTATTGTTTTCAGTAACGTTGTCCTGATACCTGCTTCATCACTATACATGAAGATTAGTGTCGTGGGCTGTAATAGGCCATCACAAGCATTATTACATTTGGTAATATTTTTGGCATTTTTGTATGAGACCAGCCACATGAGTGGTTGACAAATATGACTTCTTAGAAAGCAGTTTCTGGAATTTAAGTAATTTAAAGTTTCTTCCAAAAATTAGAAGATTTTCTTACTACCAATTTGTGTCCAAACATGAGTTTTGTAGTTATATTCCTTATTAATTAGCAACATTATTTCAGTGCTACCAAAAAAGTCATGTCGCATACGCAGCATAGTATTATCTTTAAATAAACTTGTACAGTATTTATTATACTACTCAACTTGATAGTATTCAACTTCCTCAATTAGAAATCAATCTCATTACTGTTACAGTATCCAGCTTGTCTTTATGAATAGTCCTCTAAGTCTTTATGAATAGTCCTCTAGGTCTTTCCACTTTGTTATGTTAGTCATCTGCTTAGCACTGCAGTTAATGCAGATGCTTTGGATTCATGCTGTTCATTTTATACCTTTGCAAAGACACAGAATTACTTAAAAGCAGATTGAACAATTTGAACCACAAAGTCTACCTAATGTCAAGGAAAGAAGGCTTTGAATTAGTGAAGATAATGCTACTGTGGGCAGTT